GTTAAGCCACCATTATGGACAAAACCCCCAGTTACCTGATTTGAAAACCACTGGTTAATCCTATCTGTACTCAGCTGGTCAGACCCAGGTTGTCATTGTCTTCCTAATTTCTGTCTGGAGTTGTAATGGAAAAATAAAACAAGCTGACCAGTCAAATACAGTACTGCTTCACCATCTGTGTTTATAGCTGTTGCTATGGTCAGACCAGAACCAGAGAGAGATCACACACTTTTATCAGGTATTCTGGCTCTGATCCGATCTGATTTAACTGTTGCTTGGCATTTTGGGGTGGTTCTTAAATCAGAATTACTTGGGAAGTACAGACATGTATGCTAGGCTGAGCCAAGTTGCAGCAAAATATCTCACTGGTAGGAGAGGAAGGGTGCGCGCACGCGCACACACACACACAGGTTAGTACGTTGAAAGGAAACTGACCCCTATGGATTTTGGCTGACCCATACTGCAAGCCACCTATAGCTAGAGGTAATTTTGTTATGGGACTGTGGTATATACACAGCCCTGTGTTTATGGCCTGGATTATCCAGGCTATCCTAAGGAGGCTAATGTGTGCATAACTCTGCCTTAGTCAGGGATTAGATCTGGTGGCCTCTTGCTCCTTCTCTAGCTTTGAAATTCAATGAGTTTAAATCTTTCTAGCATCACAGATAATACTCAGGCAGCCATAGCTAATAGGTTGGATCTAGACTAGTCATATTTAGAGCAGATCTGTTGAAATCCATGGAGCTTAAATTAGCCATACCTAATTTAATCCCCATAAATTCACTGGATCCCATCTAAGTATATCTAAGTCAGAATTCAAGCCCACTTTGTATGCATGCATGCATGCATGCACGCATGCATATGAAGTAAATACCCACAGGTTTTCCTTCTGAAAGAGCTTTCTTTTCTAAGGACTTTATGGAAGTGCATTCTGTATTGTGCATCACTTAACACTCATGATGGACCAAAGAGGTGTGGCAAGAGCAGGTTTTGAGCATTTGTTGTTTGAAGATAATAAAAGGAGCAAAGGATCAGGATGGTAACCGTTTGATGTCTCTGTCTTCCCAGTAACACAATCACTAATTCCTGGGGCCTCTGCCCTTTGAGTGTACAGGAACCAGAGTCTTTGCATTTATCTGTGACTTATCTGTCACCTACCACGTTTGATATGCCCAGCCTCTGCTTTCAATTATCAGTCATCAGCAAGAGCACTCAGTAATTTCAAGAGGAAACTCTTGGAACCTTTGACCTGTGCTTGTCAGATAACCAAAAGTATTTACTGAAGATAAACTATCATTTCATTGGTTTCAAGAGGTAAACATATGGACTTTGTTCTGTGTCAGCTTATAGTCACCTCCATCACCTAAAGGTGGTTGGGACTGGCTGGTTTATGTACCTTCTTCTGCAAACAACTTAGAGATTCCCATAACCTCCCCCCATGCCTGCATTACATATTTCAGATGTATATCTACAGTGGGCCCATGCACTTATCTAAGCCAAAAGTGCTGGCAATGGTGAAGTGTAGAGCAAATGTGCATATGGGTGAATTTGGGGTCATGCTCCTAATCCTCTATTCAGATTTTTATTTATCAGCAACAGGTAGATCAGGGCTGAGCTTTTAGCCAATGCTGGCTCCCAATGTTGGGGATTTGGGCTAGGCATCCTCAATGGGTCCTCCTCGTGCAGGGAGTCTACCTTCTCGCCACCATTGTCACCACCTGCTGGTGCTCTTCCTCCTCCTCCTCACTTCCACAGCTTGTGAGGAGATAGGCAGTGGTACCTTCTCACCACACCTGTTGTCTGGCCCAGAGAACCACACTGCCATGGGGAACAGGAGGAGCAAGTCCAGAGGGCTCTTGATAGTGGGCCTTTGTTGAAGACACTCTGGCCTGATTTAGCTAAAGTTCGTTGTGATTATAGTTTCTCTCTTTCCAGAATTTGAAGGGAAATGCTTCCATTGGTTTCAATTGGATTTAGCCAGGCCAGGCCAGGTAGCAGCTGCCTCTTGTAGTCCTGTGCCCCGCAGAATAAGGAAAGCAGCATCTGATTCAAGCTTTGCTTTCCTTATTTGAACACGGTAGCTCCCCAACTTCCACTGAATCCTTGAAAGGAATCAAGGCTTGATTGGTACATCAGCGAAGTTTCCCCTTAAGCACTCTCAAAAATTGCAATGCTGTTGTTGTTAAATTTTATCATTGCAACCTTTAGATAAAGCAAATACTTAAAGGCCAAAAGGCTCAAAAACTATTCATTAAGTATGTTGTATACAAGCTGCACTTCATGGCAATAACATTTCTTTGAAAACAAATGAACAAAGTTTAAATGCTAAGACAACAATGTTTAAATTTCAATAATACAGTTTGTTGAGATATACTTAAGTGCATATGTGGCATGTGGCTTTGTACAGAGTGTAAGTCTGGTTCTGTGCATATTTTTTTCAGTTTATCAGTCCGAATTAGTATTACTAAATTGGTTGTATCCTGCTTCTTTTCATGACAGTCATAAGACATTGAGGGCATGTTAACTTATTTATACGGGCCTTGAATGAAGTTCTTTGCTGCCTGTTTACATAGAATAAAATATTTAAAACAGGTAGTCATGCACTATGACTATCCCAATATAGCTTGTTTAGGATTCTCTGTCACTGAGAAAAAAATACTTCCCACTACCCTTAATGGCTATGAAAAGCTTAACATTTTAAGATGTTTTAGGCAGCATAGGGACTAGAGCAAAATTATTGTTGGACTAACACATTTAAGGTATTACACAACAAATTATTCTCAAGGCAATTGACTTTTCAGAACTGCCCAAAGCCCGGAGAGAGGTGACAAGTGCTGAGCAACAGGGTTCAATCTGAGACCAACGACTTTATTAATGATCTAGGTGAGGAAGTCCAGGGAAGGATAATCAAATTTACAAATGGCACAAAACCAGGACCAGGACCAAAGCATGGCACAGCCCATAACTGTCTAGGCCATGTTCTCCTCACTTGGCCAGCCCTCCTTCCAGTGCTTCCCTCCAACTCTACCCATCACTGTGCTGATGGGGCTCTCCCAAGATTCTCCAAATTGGCCCATATCTTCCCTCCCAGGCACAGATTCAGATGCCATGGTGGGAAGAGATAGCCCATCAAGGCTCTAATTGAAAGGTTCAGTACTGTTGGTGGAGGAAGTTGCATGTCACCCCCAGCTGGCAGTCCACAGATGTCAGGCCACAGGGGAAGAGCCATGGGGCAAGAGCAGAACAAACTCTCCGTGCTGGTCCCCAGGTGGGAGCATCTTCCAGGTTCAAGCAACCCTCCAGCCACTTCCCAATTCATCATCAGTTTTCCACATCTCCACAGGCACCTCTGTGTATCACATCCTCCATCCTGTCCACATCATTTATCTTCTGCTCCCTTAAGGAAGGTTTGTAAGCCTTAGTGCACAATTTCCTTGCTTGTTCATGCTTGGTTGAAATCTGCACTGTCTTAACTGTGTTAAACTGTGTGTGTAAACCATGGGTCTTTTCTTTGTTGAATTAGCTGTTATATAGATTTCATCTAGAACCCTGTACATAATGTTTTGGAATCACAGTACAATTGTATAACATACTTTGAAATTTTGGAAGGCATAGACTGTCCTATCGGGCATCTTTGACTGAATGGCACAAAGTTTTAGTATTCATATATATACTGTATATCCCTACACAAAGCATTTATTGTGCACTTGGCTTTTCCTATTCATAGTTGTGGTTTTTTTTACAGATCCTTTAAATTATAGAACCATCCAGTTTTGCTTCTGTTTTTAAATAACACTTCTGGGAAGAGCAGATATGAAATATCATTTGTGAAAGTGAAAGAAAACATTTTTCCATGTGCAATTCCTCTATGCCACAGTGTCAACTAGATGTTATATAGCAGAAAAGCAGGGAGAGAACTTCTTTTGTGTACTGCTTGGATCTCAATTCTGTGATGGAACCAAAAGTAGATACAGCAGATTAACAGCCTAGTGTAGAAAAACCCTTGGTATGAAGCAGTGTGGAAAAGTCTCATACTTGGAACAAAACGTTTCAAAAGTCAGATTAGTAAGATTTATGAAACATAAACAGATGTGCTGGGAAAAGCAAGTTTTCTGGGTCAAAAGGAAGATTCAATTGAAGAAAAAAATCTTTTAAACTTCAGCTTTCTGAAGGATTTTAATATAGATGTGGGGTATTAGTAACATCTGATACCATTTCTGGTGGTTAAGAAAAGTGAGCAAATTTGTGTATTATGGCAGTGGAGAAACTCCTATTTTTTTCTTTTCCACACAGACAGTGCTCCTTTGTCACACACACAATGGACAGAACAGGTTCTGGACTAGGGACAGTATCCAACAAGGTGCTATACCCCCTCTGTTACATTTCACACACAAGACCAACCACTTGTGGGGATTGAATGCTACAAAGCAGCCATTGGAAACAAGCAGAAAGTCTGCTTTAGAGTTAGATACATTTAAATATTATTTAGATTAATTAGATATAAGAGTAACTTAAATTGCCTTGCTGCAGTAGGGTATTTTGGTGATTATTAGTTGGCACAGTCTTCTGAGTCCATCATGTCCTTTTTTCCTACAGTAGCAGCTTCACAGCTGCCTTTCTAAATATTGTTGGGACCATCTTCTCATTCAGGGAAGTGTTTGCAATCTTTGAGGCCAACCAGTTGGTTCACCCCTACCAACTTTTACAAGCCAAAGTGGGCAAACATAATGTACTTTACTTGTATTCATTAGAAGCAGTGTTATTCTATCCTAAGTACCATTAATTTTAATTCATAGAATCATAGAATAGTAGAGTTGGAAGTGTCCAAGAAGGCCATCAGGTCCAACCCCCTGCTGTTGCAAGAGACCAGTTTATACCATCCCACTCAGATGGCTGTCCAGTTTCACCTTGAATGTCTCTAGTGTGGGAAAGCCCATGACTTCTCAGGCAGCTGGTTCCACTGTTGTATTGCTCTGATAGTGAGGAAAGCTTTCCTGATATCTATACTGAATCTGGGTTCTCAAAACTTCAGCTGGTTATTCTGTGTCCTACACTCTAGTATCAGGAGAAGAAACCTTGACCTTCCTTTTTGTGACAGCCTTTGAGGTACTTCTAGAGGGATCTCATGTATCCCCTCAGTCTTCTCTTCTCAAGGCTGAACAATGATCTACTCTGAGTAGGACTGACAATGGATATAAACCTTTGTCCACATTCTCTAGCCTGAGTAAGTAAAACTTCCCCATCAAAACATGTCAAAAGAGTGCAGTAGAGTCTGTGCTGGCACCATTATAAATGATGTGTTCCTTCAGAGTACTGAGCTGATCAGTCAAAATAGACCTTTAATCCTTCGTCCAACTGAGAACCTGATGGAAAACACCTCAGGTCACTTGGTGCAGCATTGCTGAACAATACTGTACTGTAAGATACAATTGTGTGAGTCGCCTAGGGAGGCCACTTTGGCAGTTATAGGCAACATATAAATATGTGAATAAATAAATAAAATAGAGCATATACAGTTCTCAGGCACCTGTATTCCAGCTACTATCCCAATCATTTCTTTGCTACAAGCACCCTAGTAAACCCGGGAGACAAACAAATGTTAACTGCAGGGAGAAGGTAATGAGGAGTCATCACTCCGACTGCTCAAGCTGTCTCTGTATGTGGTCATGAGGTTTCTTCACCTCCAAGCCAGCATCTTTCCACTCAGGAAGGACTAGGAACTCAGGAGTGTGACCTAAGATGTGAGCTGGGCAACCACATACCAGTGCAGTTCCATGATTGCTTTGGAACCCATGAATTTCTTAGCCACATCTGATTAAAATCTTGGGTACTTACATTAATAAGTTTTCTGAGGAAAGGTTAAGTTCTCAAAACACTATAAACATGGGTCTCAGTAATAATATTTTAATGTACTGGCTTCTATATCAAAACATTAGACCTAATTTGATGTGAAAGTACACTATTCAAATATAGTGAAATTCATAGTCATTCTGATTTACAGTGGCTTAGAGCACTGAGGGAGAATATGTGAAATTATTTATATGAGGATGTAGCTTGTATTATGCAGTGTTCTTTAACCATTTTGTTCTTCCTTAAAACAACTGTGTGAATGAGTCATTAGTCTTGCCATTGAGCATATGAGCAACTGATGCAGAAAGTGTAATTTGTTCAAGCAACTTATCCAAGAGAGTTCATGGCTAATATTTATAGTGCTTGTCGCAATATTCGTACATGTAGTGATATCCATAGTGATAGGATTTACTAATACAGAATGCTTGTTTGTAAAGAAATGTCAGCATAGCAAGGTTATCAGCACAATTTCACTCGAAATGGCATGAGCAAAGCTATTTTGATTTTTCATGTTTTTCCTATGCTTGCATTACTGAGAATGTGAACCTAACAACATGAGAATCAAGCAAGCATCTGCGTTATCACTGAATTATGATTTCAATCAAAATTTGGCCAGCTTCTCTGCCCCTTCTTTCACAAATGCTGTCTTCTCTAATATATGCCAAGACCATCTGCAAGTAATTCCTACTTGGGAACAGAGCTAAACCAAACTAGTTTCTAAATTCTTCTGAAACTTGTATTTTATCTGTATTTTCCTTAGTGTTAATATACAGCTTTTCATTTTTATGGATCTTTCTTCTTGTTGCCTCCTGAAATGCTGAATGCAATCATTAAGCACTTTTCCATTTGACCTCCTAACACTTGTTGACTGATGTTTTACCCAAAGGTTGTGGTTGGACTATTTGCTTAATTCCCGGTTTAATTTTAAAGTGCATGATAAACGGTCATCATTATCCAAATACACTGGATATGTATTTTTATCTTTTCATTTTTATTTTATTTCCACAGTTGAAAGAGACAAGGATTTTTCCCACCAGCGACGGCATTACAAAGAATTTCGATTTGACTTGACTCAGATCCCACATGGAGAGTCAGTGACAGCAGCTGAATTTCGGATTTACAAGGATCGAAGTTACAGTCGATTTGAGAATGAAACCATTAAGATTAGCATTTACCAGATCATCAAGGAATACCCAAACAGGTGCCCTCTATTCCAATTTTATTTCAAATCATATTTCCATTGCTGGGACAAGACATCTGAACATTTTTTAAGGGATGCAATGCAAGCGAGACTATGCAAGATTCACATGTTGCAACAACCCATGTTTAACACACCGTAGATTGTTGAAAATGAAGTAGAAGTAGGTGAGCCTGCTCCCACTGCAGGAAACAGTCCAGGGAAGGAGCATCCCTGGGTTATTTATTGTGATGTCTGAATGCAGAACGGAGTGCTCCTGGGTCATTCAGCTCCCCCTGGCTGCAGCAGGAGTGGCTGGCTCACTTATTCCTAATTCATATGCAACAAGTGGTGTTTTGTTATGGATTGTTGCAATGCACAAACCACGTCTATGAGATGCTTCAGAAATACCGCCAAACCATGCTTTGCATAGTGAAACCGTGCTTTGGTGTGATGTCCAAGCCAGGGTATGAAAAGATGGCCTGAATTTAATTTATAAAACATGGGTTGGCCTGATTGAATGGTTGGAGCCATTGCTCTACCCTGAAAGTCTGGAGTTTGGAGCCACATTCAGGGATACTTCAGGAAGAGAGAAACCATACAAACAGTGACGTGCCCATGAGGCTGCAATGCAAGAAATGATTTAGAGTTTGAACTATCATTCATATGCACACATGCACACATATAAAACAAAAAAGTGGGGGGAACAGCAATTCCTAGAAGAAAAGCATTGCCAAAAAGGCACCATTTCACTATTAACAATAATAATAAAAAAGGGAAGAAGTATTCTACATTTCCAATTCAGATATACATGTTAAGATAAATGACTCATATGTCTAAATAAGACTGTATATGAAAGTGATGCCTACAGGATATGCATCTAATTTCAGCAAGAGCAGTAAGATCTTCAGACCATTGGATGATAGCTGGTGAGCTGTCGATCTAACCCAGTCAGTGAGCCGTCAGCCTCGAGAGTCTATCTGAACTACTAGGTGGCTTATAAATATATAAATAAATAAACTTAAGTCCCATTTGCAAACTGCAGCTGTTACCTTAACTTAATGTCTATGTAGTTCGCTGGTTCTACTTTAAGGAGGACAAATATTGAATATGATGCTATGGGCTGGTTCACATGATCAAACAAACCATTATGGCTTAAATAAGCCATGGTGGCTTGTTTAAATCAGTGGCGCATGCTGGTGTGTGTAGGACACCCTTAACAAGGCTTGCTGTGCCATTTGAATTGGCTGGCATGGCTGGTTTATGGGGCAAACACATATATTTTCTCAAATAACCCAACAACAGGCCATCAGTTATTTGGGGGTTGTTTCCCATTCTAACAACCCTTTTAGCCTGGGTTTGAACAGCACAACAAACTGTGACTGGGTGAATAATTAGGCTAATAGCAGCCAGCAAGCCACCATTTTGATCATGCAAACTGGGTCTGTGTTTCTAAAGCAAAGTGTAGTTTGGCTCTTAATTCCATACTAGAAGTGGCACCTCTGACTCTTGTCTTCCAAGGGTCCATGCAATGCTTAATTGTTATCTGGTATGGCAAAAGTGCTGGAGAATGTGAAAAAAATTGTCTTACCTGTGAATTTTCCTTTAAGACCACCTCACTGGACAGAGGTCCATCCCACCCATCTTTGTTCCATTACCCCAGGGTGAGAAAACAGCTGAGTCTGATGACAAAAATGACTCAGCAGAAAAGATCAAGTAGCCCTGTCCTTGCCTAGAGCCGCTGTGACAAGCAAATCACTGTTTTTGAAAGCTATAGCCTAGTAAAAAAGGGAAAAATCATAGATCAATCATATCAAATACAGCTTGAAAATTAGAGCTAAACTGCCAGTTACACTTATTGCTCAGGGTTATCCTTGGTTTTACTCCAGTGAAAGTGCACATAGCCCCAATTCCGGCTGGGACCACCTTGCTCCCCCAAATTCCATTGACACCAATTGTGACCTTTTGTTTTCTTTTTTGTCAACACGGTGGGGGCAGTTTTGGGGCGCAAATGGGGGTGGTGGTGGTGGCAGAAGAGTTAAACCTTCTCTTGTGGAGTATGGTGCTCTCAATTTGCATCAAGGCCACACACACTTGCACTAAAGTAAATGAAAAGAAACCCCTGAGCTACCTGCTGGCTGGTGTCGTTTGGCTACTCTTGGGACGACACATGCTTGAGGCAGCACCAAATGGGAAGCGCGCCTCACATTTAGAAAACTGGCCTGCTTTGAGAGTGAGCCAGGCTAGAATGTCTCTCCTTGAGAAGCTAGGATTATATGTACAGGGGCTCTTTTGAATGGAGGAACAAATTGTCTTGGAGCCAGCCCAAGATTCTGACTGCAGTTTGAAGCACTTCAGCCCAGGTACAAGTTTCCCACTCCAGGACCAAAACAGTTGTTACTTTAAAGAAGTGTTCTAGCAGCCATGAATGAAAAGTACTTCCCTTACTTTCCATACTACTCCTGTAGTATTATTATTATTATTACATTTATTTCCTGTGCAGAATCCAAGGGGACTTATATAGCTCTATTTTACCTTCACAACAACAATCCTGTGAGATAAATCAGGCTGAGAGTGTGTGACTGGCCCAAGATCACCCAGTGTGAACTTCATGGCTGAGTGGGGCCAAGAACCTGAATCTCCCAGGTCTCAGTCCAGCACTGCAGCTGCCATATTATTTATTCATTTGTTTGTTTGTTTTTTGATTTATATCCTGCCTTTTTCCTACAAAGGGCTCAAGGCAGCGTACATCATTCTCCTCCTCCATCTTATCCCCACAACAGCAACCCTGTGAGGCAGGTTGGGCTGAGAGTCTGTGACTGGCCCAAAGTCACCCAGTTGGCGCCATGGCTGAGCTGGGACTAGAACCCAGATCGTCTGAGTCCCAGTCCCATGCTCTTGACCACTACACCACACTAGCTCTCTAGCCAGTTATGCTGCCTCTCTAGGATCGGAGCCCTCTACCCACTGTGGGGAAAAAAACTGGAGGGAAAAAAGTGACTGCTAAACACATGTTCAGAGTAATGTCTGGTTTGGCCCTCAGTCACCCCCAGCCTTGCATGCTTTCTTCAAGGGGATGTGCTCGGATAGCACCAGCTTGTCTATGGGCTGCTCTTTGCCAGAAAGGAGACTCAGTGCTTTTGTGAACCATGGGGGAAAGGTTCAGCTCGAAACACCAAACACTTCTTCTTTTGTGCGTCGACATAAGCTGTAGCTTCATGTCATCCCTGAACAGAGTCGGTGTGACCCCGGCAACTGCCTTTAATATCATACCCACACAGCCTGGCAAGTTTGGAAAATAGGATATAGATTTGGATTCAAAACAGAGCGGTGGTTCCTAATACCAGCATGTCTGTTTTCAGCCTCTACCTGGAGTCTTTTTCTCCTAGTGGTTGGAAGGTTGAACAACCCATCTGTTGTACTGCTGTCCAGTGAGGGTGCCAGAAGGAAAATTCACAGGTATCCAATTTTCCAATTTCATCATGTAAATGATTAGTTAAGTTAACCGTTATGGATGAGCAAATGTAGGGATTACATGCACAATTTAAATGACTAGTTTTGAAAAATACACGTTGCCCTGAAATATGAATACAACAAGCCAAGTTTAATTTAACTTCAACAAGGGATATACTATATGGTTCAACTCTATTTATTTTTACAGAACCAAGAGCTACATTTACTGTGTAGGACTTTTGTGTATGAGTGGGATTGCTTGTTGGGCCTATTAAGCCATGAATGAACTTTAAGATTAGATTTGCCACATCCATGCTCCTCACCATAAGTAATTTTTAATGCAAATATTTCATTAGTAAGAAGTGGATAAAGTGATAATCTTGAGTTTGGTGTTTCAGAAACTTCTGTGAGCCATATATCTAAAACATCTAAGCTGCTGAGCAAGTTTGGGGGAAAAGGTTCACTCTCTCTTTTAAGTATTTAAAAGAACTAGCCTGATTTTTATGTTATTTTTGTAGGGTCCCATGGTAAACCAAAGAAATATATCACTTTTCTCCTCATAATTCTGAAGAAATAGTCCTAAAGCACCACAGGCATGTTCCAAAGCCTGATGCATGTGGAGGTTTGACTTTCTTCTTGATTCTCTGCATGCATGATGGCATTCCCCATTGAATGCATGGAATAGTTACATGCTCATAGAACTGAATGGTGGGTATGCAAAAACTCATAGGAAACCAGAAATGGCAGAATGTAGCCAAGAGACACACTAATGGAAAATGCTTCTGCATTCTCTAAAGAGAAATTAAGAGTGTTTATGACCCATTGAAGCCAATGGGTTGGGAAATTAAAAGGAAATTCTCTGATTTAACTGGTGTGTGGATCACAGCCTTCATTTCCAAAACAAACACTAGCGATGCATGCAGTCCTTTTCTGCATTGCTATGGCAAAGTCAGAACAAATGTTTTATTGGCAGCTTTCTGTTAGAAGCAAATCAAAACCCAAGACTTGATTACTATAATTTTGAAAGTCATATCTTTATTTTCTAAACTAGGGATGCAGACCTGTTTCTCTTAGACACCAGGCGGGTACAAGCATTTGATGTCGGCTGGCTTGTTTTTGACATCACAGTGACCAGCAATCACTGGGTGATTAATCCGCAGAATAATTTAGGATTGCAGCTGTGTGCAGAGATGACAGATGGTAAGCTACATGTATATATAACACTTTTAACATAGACATTTCTCCTTGTGTGTTGTCATTTTATACACTGAGGGCTGGTCTTCATATACATCTGAATGTGACAGCCTCCATGCAGTAATTACTGCCCAGGGCATCCTGTAACATGTAGTTCTGCCTGCTGTACAAGCTCCTGCATCAACTGTCCCAGTGCCAGAGCAGCACATGTCTAATGGTGACTGTTGGGGCTAAACTAGATGCTGCATTAAATCTGTCACGAAGACATGGGCAGCTTTCACCATCCCTCACCCGTAGCTGTGCTGGCTAGGGATGGGGACAGTTGTAAGTTGTAGTGCAAGAGGCCCACAGGGGGTTGCAGTGGGTCCTCAGGAGGGTCACTGGCTTCCTGAAGCCAGGGTCACTGTCCCTCCCCCACCACCTCTTGGGAGACTTAATTTTGCTGGTTTGTGGCTGGCAGCTGCCACTGTGTTGGAGTCCTGAATTTAATGGGTTAAGAACAGGGGTGTTTTTGCAACGGCTCCCAACACTTCCTGGGAACTTCCTATCTGGGCAGGCCTGCCAGGCAAGCACATGTGTTTTCTGTGACACTTTCCCTCATGGTCGACTTGCCTTTGCTGCTCCAAAAACTACCTCTCATCCCTCCTGACTTCCCATTCTCAGTTGTTTATGCCTACATGTCAGCTGTGAAGGACTGAATAGGCAGAGAGTATCTTCAAGGTCACAGAAAGTTCAAAATATTTTTTTTGCAAAGGTGTAGTTAAGTTTCAGTTATAGCATGTAAGTTTCATTTCTGCTTTTGACAGAGCAGATGGGGAGGGGCTTCTTGGGTGGGTGTGGCTTTGAGGTGTGGCTCTGACTATCATGAAGGGACCCCTCACCACTTCTAAATTTGCTGCTGTACCACTGTTGCCCACCTTGAGCGCACAGGGCTCTGATATGGAATGGGACCAGAACATTATTATATAACAGATTTGAATACTATTTACCATATGTTAAGACATCTCAAAGCACATTAAATGTAAACACATTAAAAGACATGATCATATAATTAGAAGTCAATCAAAACACATAATTCTTGCTAAAACATTTGTATAAAACATTAATAAGAGTATTTAAACCAGTGAAACATCAAATAATTCATGCAGGTGTTGATGGTTGTGTAGAACTTCTCGCCTGCTCACTGAATTGACCCTACCCCATGAAAAAATGAAAAAGAGAAAATTCAGTTGGTACTCTGACTGGGGTGCTGTCTGCCTACAGTACAGTGGCTTACTACCATTTCATACCTTCTGTGATTTAGATTCCAAGTCAGCATCTAATTCTGACATCCTGACATGGCAAAGGGCCAAGGCCTGAAGCGCAACCTTTTCAGAGGACTTTGCAGGGAAATGTCTGCCACAGCAGTCCCACTTCCTTAGAATTCTTCCACTTCTTTCTGAGAACTGGGTTGGGAAAACTGTAATCATTAAAAATCCAGATTTTACGTAAGGGCTCTTTAAATTGGAGCAGTGTATGCTTACAATGGGGCAGACACAAGAATCAGAAGGGTCAGCCATGGCATATTGCTATCCTTGCAGGGCCAATTCCAACTAGGAAACAGGAGGAGCATTCTGTAGATCATTTTTAGGTTATCCATTTGGGGATCTTTTTATATTAAGTGATATATAGTTGTTATTATTATCATTACTATTCTTATTTACTAGCAGTAGGTCAAAAGAATCCCCAGTTTGTGTAAAAGACAAACCGGCTTTGTCTGGTGTCAGTGTTCATATGTGACACAGGAAATCTGATGAAGAATGACACAGGAAATAATTATTTGGAGTTTTGATACAGACTGATCAGCATCCTTATTCATGATGCTTATGGGTTATTATTTCATTTTTATCTCACCTTTTCTCCCAAAGGCACAGGTTGGCTCCTGTTGTGCCAACTCTTACTCCCACAGCAATCTTGTGAGGAAGGCTGAGAGACAGTAACTGGTCAGTGAGCATTATAACTGAACAAGGACTTGAAAGTCCAGTCCTCTATCTACTGTACTAAAAGATCCTGGCTTTCCTCAGACTAAGCAGCAAAACACTTTGACAAATGAAAAACACATTCATACAGGTTCATATTTTTTCTACTGTACATTTATTTCCGTGGCCGTATATATAGTCCATGGTCCATGCTATATAGCTATTCAAATTATTTAAGCCTTCCTTCCTTTAATTCCCCAGTTTCCCAGCATAGTCCTATGTGGTTAAAACTACATTTTTATTTGCTAATGATATGAAATGCATGGCAACGGCAGATATTCTCCATGTGAATAAACCTTTAGCAGTTAAAGACTTCAATGTTGATGGCAGTTTTGTTATTTAAGAAGCAAACTGAACATCAATTTAAAGATGTAAGTAGCAGTTAGGACTATTAAAATTGTATTTATTTTAAGACACTCTGTATCTTCAAAACGTTTCACTGAATGGTGCACAGTAAAACAGAAAAGAATCAAACTCCAGAACAGGAAAAACTTTTCAAATGATTCAATGTATTTATGGCTGTTCATTCAGTGAAAGCGTCATTAAAATGTCTTTTGCAGATACGGAAAACAAGACCATGTGGATGTCTGCCTGATATCCATAGGCAGGGAGTTCCACTGGGAGGGAGCCAGCACACTGCAGGTTCTTTCTGAGTGGACACCAAGTGGACCACAGGTCCATTTGGATCTTCCAGGAGTGCCTCCTCCAATGACATCAGTGACCAGGCAAGTTAATAAGGGACGAGGTGCCCTGTTTTCCCACTTACAGGTAAGCAGGAGGACTTGAGCAAGGCTGTTTTGTGGGATGGGGAGGGCATTAACTCTTTGCCTTTCCTTGCAAATTGAGGCCACCACAGCTGCAATTTGCATTACTAAAAAGGATCCAAAGGATTAATGCTCCCCTACTACATATATACCTGAGTCCCAATCCAGACTTGGTCTCTCTTTGCTTTTGAGTAAGGAGGAAATAACGTAGTCATGAAGCAGGCGTTTAAAGTAACGTGTAGGTTGGTCCTAAGATACTACACTGGCATGTACTTAAATATTGAATAACATTTATTTAATTCATTTGTTCATTTCATTTCTATGCTGCCCAATAACCAAAGCATTCTCAGCAGTTTACAATTTCATGCCCACAGAGTTATAAATTAATCTTGTGAGCAAAAAGTATATAAGTTTGTCCAACTCTTTCTTCAATGGAATATTGCTAGTCACAGTTGTTACGCCAGTAGAATGTCCCACTATTGCTTTAATTGTTATGTGTTTTAGCTGTTACGTTGCTTTTAAATTTTGTATTTTGGTATAATTTTATGGATGTAAAGGAACTTTAAAAGAAGAACTGTTGTAAGCTGTGCAGAGATCGTTGGCTAATTGGTGGTGTAGAAATCAATCAATCAACCAATCAAGCCAACAAATGTGTCTGGACAGAGGTTGCAAGGCACACAGGACTGTGGAAATGCAATGGAAGCCATGCAAGCCAGGTTGTGATCCAGGAGGCTCCTTCCATCCATGTAATCACAGCAAAAAATTGAATGTGAGATGCACAAACAACAGTAATGTCCAAGATCCAAACAGGCTACGGGGAAGCCACTAGAAACAGAGTGCTCATGTGAACTCAGGGGTTGACAAGGCATCTGCCTTCTGTGGGCACAAATTGGGGTGCAAGAATATACGCTGCAATCTCTGTTGGGTTTTGTGTTGATGGAAGCCCAGTTGGTATGAATGGCTAGAAGAAGACCTTAGCGAGGAGAAAAAGGTAACATCACCACCACTACTGTTCTTCCTCTTGCAAGGAGCTCAAGGAGGCTTTACAAGGTTTTCCTCCTCTCCATTTTCTCTTTACAACAACGTTTTGAGTTAGGTTAGACTGAGAGTGTGTGATTGGCCCACTGAGTTCCATGGCTGAGGGGGGACTAGAACCTGGATCTCCTCAGTCCCACTCCAACCCTCTAACCGCTACACAACACAGGTTCTCATATGCAGTAGCTGCTTAAATGTTTCCAAGCAGGTTAATCAAGCTTTTCCACAAAATTAGAAAAAAATCAATTTTAAATTATCTACTTAGAGTTTTGTCCTGTTGGGACTAATGATTATGATTAGCTGGCTATTGGCAAGGTGACATGAACAATGTTTTAACAGCTACCACAGGCACAAAGATCACAGGAACTTGGTTAGTTTAAAGATTAGATGATCATGAAACTGATTTTCGAGGGACTGAAATACGCTCAAGGAACACAAAACTGGATCCCGGTGAACTTTACTAGCTAAGCACAGGCCAATCAGTTAATAAATTTCACCATCTCTGTAGCACAAAAAAAAATGGGCTGGCATATGATGTGGTGTGCATATGTGATTACCAACATACCCCCTGAACACTGGAAAGCTTATAATGCAGTGATAACAAAACTAAGAGTTTGTGCCCTCCAGTTACATCTTACCCAAACAGCCTAGATTTTGGCCTATCAGTTTGTCTTTGAGGATTGGTGTTATTAAATTAAAACAAATTCATTCTTGGTTTCCTTTAGGATTCTGGCTCTTAACTTTAAATCCTTTGTTACACTAGCAGCAGAGGAAAATAGGTAGTATAAAAAAACCAATATACTGGAAACAACGGTGGGAAAAGGTCTGGTTGTTACAGTTTGTTTTCCTTCTTGATGATGCTGAAAAAGTACAAAAGGTTGCATGACTTTTTTTCTCAAAAATGATATTTGGTATCATATGCATCATTCTTGAATGAAATGTAGCTGATTTTCTGCTAAAACCACATTTTATATTGAATTGTAGGTCTAAAGAGCAACATAACACATATGGAAGCTGTCAACATATAATTTACTGTTTCCCTAGGGCTGCGATAAATTAAGAATGAATCATTTTTTTAAAATGCTCTTTTCTAAATGTCTGCATATATCGTTGCAATACTCCACTGGGTTCCCTCACTGTTTGCATTTGAGGGTTCTGGTAGTTGAAAACATTTGTGGTCTTATAGGAG